AGAATGTGCGTTCACCGCCGAAATGCCGCCAACGTATATCAAACGGAAGCCATTCGTTTGTGCGCACCAAGAAATGTTGCAAGTGACTTCCTTCTTAGGTCCGTAGCCCAGCAGAACATTCATGTAATTGTACGACTTAACGCTAACCATATCGGCGAGGTTCAGACGCTCTAGAAGGAAAAGTAAATAATTATTTTGATAAAAACATGAAAAAAAAGAGTTAACTTCGGCTGCACCAAAGCTTTTATATAAAAACCCTTCACAAGTGAATTTCTTATAACGTAAAAGCGTACAAACAGAAATTTATATTTATTTTGATGTTGTTGTTGTTGTTGTTCTAGCGGGCCCCTTGTCGCCATTTGGATGGTAAGGATTAGCTAAGTTGTCGTCGACGTCCATATTGGTGCGGCGTAGTTAGGGATCGGCCGGCCGATTGCTGTAAGTTGCCAACAACTTTTCTTTGTCCTTTCCCCATGTGCTGCCGGCTAGCGACTTGAGAATTTTGTTGCGGCAATGTACTTTGGTAATAATCGCGGTCGTGTGAAGAGTAAAAGAGCACAGGCTGTCGAGTTATTAACAGTCGAATTATCGACTAGTCAAGTCTGTACTCCTTCGTCCAGTTTGTGAATATGGTCGCTGACGTCTCAGTTGGGGAGAATGTTAGGTTCGGTGCAGCGAGGATGCGAAAAAGGTCAGGGAGATAGCCGTTTACATTTGATTGGTCAATTTGTATGACAGGTATATCCCAAGGTGATTCAATATATGCGAATTCGCCGAATGAGCAACTTTTAGGGATCAATATCTCAAAAACTAAGGGACTCCTACACATACATATATACAACAGAACAGACAGTATAATTACTTACTATTTTTCACATGCTCGGCGAAATTAAAAACCAACGTGTAAAGGTAGACAATCTTCGACCAGTCGCGCAATAAATCGTCAACGGTCTTCACGAAATCATGATTTGCCTGCTCGTACGTCAAATAAACTGTACGACGATTGCCTTGCTCYTTTTGATGGGTRCTCTGCAGCGGTGTGCTGTAAAATACGAACTCGACACCCCAATTGCGCATTTGGTTKGATTTGTTCATTTGCGAACGTATGGATATCGAGAGCAAACGCTTCAATAGATCATTCATGATCGGTTTCTCCAGAACTGGCAATGACGAACTGGTGGAATTCTGTAGAAAATAAATATATATAGTAACTAGGTACATATTTCGAGTATAAAATGATGTGCTCAAATATACCTTTTGATCTTGTGGCTGCTGACCCGGCATGGGGAGCGCAAGTATCTTCAGTACCAGCGACGCTGCATTSGCTTCTACTTGCAGGCCGCTATGTGGTATTTCGCGACGCGATAACTCCTGCGCTAAATTCAAGAACGGTATTTTTTCATCGCACATGGCAATGACATGCGCCAATTCGGGTATAAAGTAAGCTGGATAAATTGTTTTTTGTTGCTTGGCAGGCGGGCCGATTTCGCTGTTTGCTTTGCGCTTATGTGGTGGCAATTCTATGCATAGACGATGAAAATAGACAACGCCAATAAATAGAAAATAAATATATGAAGATAAAAAGTGAAATTAATAACTACCATCGACATCGGTTCCAGGTCCGTGTGTGGCCACGAAGGTGTCGAATTCTATTAGACGCAATAATTTTGTATAAACCTTAGGMACCTCTGCGCTAACAGTGGGTGGATGTGGCGGTGGATTAGAACTGGAAACCAAACGTGTATTTTGTGCTTCCTCAGTTGTCACGTCCGCCTCAGTGGTYTGATATGCAACAAAGCCCAAATGAAAAGTGTATTCCATTTCGTTCGGCGTGTTGGATTTCTCTTTTAGTTCCACAACCTAGAAACAAACAAAAATATAATGTCATTTGGTTGCTCTTTAKGTATGAATATACAGTCACTTGCAATTATAACATTAGGATGACGATGCAGTTTGACATAAATTTTATGTCGGCCTGGTTGCATGAGCGGATTGTCRGGCAGCGAAAGAAAAGGTAATGTTTCTGTGGTAGCTGCCGGTAAATGTTGCAAGGTTTTTTCGCAACGACGATGAGTTATCCAAAATCTGCAAAACAGAATAGCAGTGTTGAAGTTTACATCATTACAMTACATGTACTATATACATATATGCATGTATATATATAAATATGAATAAAATATATATGAGTGAATCATATGTATACTATATATATGGAATATTTTCGAAGAAAATGTGTGTAAATTAAATTTGTTACCTCAACTCAGACATGATTTGCTGTAATTTACTTCGATCGCCATTCAAGCAAGCTTGCATTTCCGGCATGATGGGGCAGTCTAAATGCTTTGGCACGTGACATCTTAGCATGCCGGTGTGTGTGTCAATAGTTATATGCACTTGTTCAGCACGCAAACAAGGCGTCAGCACTGGCACAGTCAATATAGCGGGAGTTCCTTGTAAATTGACTACCAAAATACGAAGTTATTATGAATATATTTTTATTTTATAAAGATTACAYAATTTTATGCAATTACACTCACAGTCGACATCTTTCAAAAAYGACTGGAACTCCAATTTTAGATCATTGAGTCGTGAAACGGAACGTATATACACCGTATACACAATTAAACGCTCCATCGAAAGATGATCGGAACGTACTGCACGATCAGCGACCTCTGCCGACTCCTTTGCGCCCAGTGAGGGTACGTGTACAACAGCAAGTGGTCGTCCGATTTCATTAGGATCCGATTGTACGGTTAAACGATAGCCCAACTCAGATTTCGAATCTTTACTGGTAAGTTCTCGCCAATAGGATACTGTTATTTTTACGCCAGGTACGTACTCCTCTACATTAATATTGTCATCTAAACGTTCATAACTTAGCCGCAGTGTTTGTGTRTAAAGTACTTCTAGTTGCAGCGATTGACAAAAATAGTGCAGACAATTGTAAACTTCGCTAAGTGCATTTGGATTTTCTACCAAGCGTGCTTGAATAAGTTGATGAATATAATTTACTTGCAACTGATGGACCARTGCTTTGCCATCTAAGAAATAATTAAATAAGACAAAATGTATATGAATGATTAAAAAATTATGAAAAAATCGTTATACCGCCAGTTTCTTTGTCCTCAACAAGTATGTCGATATCCAAAAGTCGCCATGGTACATTGTTGCCATCCCCCATGACAGTTAGCGAAACATTAAATTCGTGCTTTACTTCAAAGGTTACACGTCCATTTTTGATCTAATACAAATAATTTTGCAAATATAAAAAAAATTGCTTTCTGTTTTTTATTTGTATTTACCTTAAATTCTCTCATTTGCGGTAGCAACTTGCCGGTAACTAACCGATGTTGTATTACTTGATTTAGTCTTAAAAGCGTTTGTTTCTTTTCAGCAGGAGTTATGGGATCTGGTGGCACAATGCGTTCGCGTATACATGTGGGAAGGCGGTTATATGTACCTGTAGTAAGTACCTCAACAGCTGCAGGGATATGAAAATTTGGTAGACGCGCTCGTATTAGTGTCTCACGAGACATGCGGGCCAACATATCAGCAGTTTCAATAAAAAGCATATTTTGTTTGTCCAGGAAGCTCATTATATTCTGTCAATAAGAAAAACATTATCAATATATCCATACATAAATACAAAATTTGAATTAAAACGACTTATTTATACTTACGGCCGATTTATCTACTTTAGAAACTGAATTCGCCCATTTGACCAAAGAAATCAGACGTATAAATAGCTGCCGCGTTCGTGCGGAAAAATTGTAAATTTCGATTTTTCGCTCCATGTCCGTTTTTCGCGGAAGCCTATTAGCCACAAAAATTAATATATTAAGATATCAATATATATGTACGTAATGGAAGTYGAAAATAAGTACTCATAATAAAATTTACTTACAGTTCAGCAAGCACAGTAAGATCATGATAAGTTCTTTGTATAATAAAATCAATTAGTACTGCAAGTGAAATTGTGTTCATACGTGGACCRCCCTCCTGACCGGAGGGTAGATAACCAGCCATCGGACCTTGAAATTTTCCCTCCAAGGGCTGGGGCGCCGGTGCCATATTGTAGTTAAAACAATGTGCACAATTTTAGAATTGGCACTTTTCTTTATTACACTATTCGCTTAAGAAATATTTGATTTGTGAACTAAAATAAATKATAGTATATATGTTATGTAGTATGCATCATTAACTTTCCAAATGAATGATTTGGTTTCCTTTTGTCGGTACTTTACTAAAAAAATATATATAAACATCCAATGTACTCAATAATCAAGAGATATTCAATACAGCTTTGTAGTTATATTTTTAGTTTATCTTTCACTGTTCTGATTAATTGTGTGCATTTTATTATTATCACCACCTAACTAATAATTTTCTACAATCACAGAAAATAATTGAAAATATTTTCACAAGACGCGACGAAAAATTAATACGAGGCACGCTGAAATGTCATTTTGCTACCTGTCAAAAAATGCACTTATTGTTGCCGGACTATTTTAATTATAATATACGTATGAGTAARAGTAAGAGTAAGTTCAGAAACACCAACTTTTGTGGCAGCAACTCCTACGTTTGGGCATGGAAAAAGGGAGAGCACCGATAACAGGGCCAGCTTTTGTGCAAATTACCGCTTCTGCGACATGGAGCCTGAAACTCTAGAACACTTTTGCAGATGCAGGATAAAAGCTATAGGGTACATATTTCCAAATAGCATCACATCGCCTCAATAGCACCAAGAAATATATTGCAGTTTATCAATATGGTGGGTCTAAGGTAGTTATTCGACTTAGGACAGCTTAAGTTGGCGGTTATTTATCTTACTCAAATGTGCATAGGCTTTGTGGCACATCACATAAGAGCTTGCCAATTCACTCACCTGTCAAAAAAAGGCATACACTTAAAGGCGTATGTGTAAGGATTCAATTTTACCCTCAAAATTTTGTTAAACTATAACAAATTTTATTTTGCAATATTGGCAACACTGTTTGTACCAGCTGGATTTATTACAAAATTTTAGGTTTGTCATTTGCGACACAAATTAGGAAATACTATCTTTCTAATTTTGTTGTTTTGAGTTCACTGTAGTCATTTTGATTTACTAATTGTGCATAATTAAATCACATTGTTGAAAAGTGAACTCTGACCTTACAGCAATGGGTTTTTTTAGTTACGTGTTTGGACCCAAATTATATCAGGAGTATGGTTTGGATAAGGTAAATATATCTATATATAGAGAAATCTATCTWTAGTTTTCTAAAACACGTAAACATAATCTGATTTTTAGAGACTTTACGAGCCTGGTGGCTTGGAGCGCTTTGGTGATCAAATAATATCTACGGTAAGTTTTCTCAGCAGTAWATTAATGTGTTAACATCTTCAGGCATACATATATTTTACACAATTTAACTAGTGGCTATATATGATGTTTACATTTATGTATATGATTTTTTCAATTACAGCTTTCTTTAATGTGGAATATTAGTTATTATACGTCACCGTTTATAGTGACTTTCTTGTATAAAAGAGGCTATTTGGTGGCAGATTCAATTTCGTCGTTCGCCAAATTCACTACCAGTATTGGTATTATTGTTGTTATAACACTGTGTATCCGTGGTTTCGGTCGTACACAGTCCAAATCATATGTAAAAATGATTAGGGCAATTGAAATGTCCAAGCTATCTTCTGATGAAGAAACAAAGCGTGYACTTCGAAAGTTTGATTTTGATTTCAGTTCATGGCAGGTAGACTTCGATGCACGTAGTGTGCAAGGGTGAGAGTACCGTGATTGAAATTAAGAAACAAAATAATTCTAACAATCATTTCAGAGATGACAAGAAAAGACAATTGTTATCTGCCAGTAGCCGCGACAGCCGTCAATTGAGATTTGCTAATTTACCTTGCAAACTTGCAGCTTATTTTGCCATTCACACTTTTGGAATTAGAATGATTTATCCTGGATACATAAAAATATTACAAAATTATTTAAGTAAGCATTATTTTATAAAAAAAAAGTAGGCTTCATAAACATTTATTATCTCTATTTGCAGATAGTTTTTTGATAGAAGGACGAGCAAAATTGGTTGAGGAGCACAATGCCGTGAGATACAAAGTAAAAACCGTTGATTACAATGAGATCGACAGCATTTTTGTAGACAACCGTCAAAACAGCCTAAATGGCAATACCCTTGTAATTTGTTCCGAAGGTTTGTTCTTTATTTTTTTAAATTTCGCTTAAAAGTTTAAAGCCCATTGCTAATAATACTTTTGATTCGTTTACGTAAAATTTTAAAGGAAATGCCGCTTWCTATGAAATCGGTATAATGAGTACCCCACTCTCGCTAAAATATTCGGTATTAGGTTGGAATCATCCTGGTTTTGCCGGTAGCACTGGTGCACCGTATCCCGAACAAGACAAAAACGGCATTGATGCTGTTGTGCAATTAGCAATTCATCGTCTTGGTTTCGCTGTTGAAGACATCATTTTGTATGGTTGGAGTATTGGTGGTGTGAGCACATTGTGGGCATCAAATTTATATCCCGACGTCAAAGGAGTGGTACGCATTATGTAATAATACATTCATTCTGTGAAATTTATGTCCATATTTATTTAGATTTTGGACGCAACATTCGATGATATATTGTATCTGGCTCAATCGCGAATGCCTGAGAGCTTATCGGGCATTGTCAGACTTGCTATACGAGAATATTGCAATTTAAATAATGTGGAATCTATACAAAATTATAACGGACCAATATCTCTTATACGTCGCACGGAGGATGAAATTATTTCAGAGTATGTTGACTTTTGCTGATACCATTTAGTTGCAGTTTACTATTCATATTAATTACTTTTTCAAATTACAYAGGGATAATCGAATTGAAACAAATCGTGGCAACTACTTAGTTCTAACTCTTCTAAAGTATCGTTATCCGTCAATATTTCAAACGAGTCAGCTAACACGGATGAAGAAACTTCTATCACGTCCTGTGGATCCGAAGAACTTTTCAAGTAATTTATTCTACTAATAAGTTGATTTTTTGACTACTGTTTTTGTACTCCAAAGGAATCATATCAATAATATGCCATCATTTCAAATTTTAGTAACCAATGACGGTCTCTGTATGTCACGGCTCATAACGTATGCTTCCGATCAAGGTAAATCATTTCCAATGCAAATTGGTAAGGATTACCCAGAGGAAACGCGCGACCAAATGGCCGATTTCTTAGTGAGCATTCGGAAATATTATTATTTTCGAGATTTATAATTTCTTGTTATTTTTTGTTGCAGCTGAGGAAGCATTTTCGTGACTACAAATCTACACATTGCACCCCATTACCCAAAGATTATTTCGACATTCCTTGGGACATTCCCACTGAAAACGGTTTTGTTTTTACTTAATTTACTTTACGAATTTGCCATGACAGACGATGAGCAAAATCATTAATTGTACACAAAGCCGAAAAGTACTAAATACCGTTACCATTGCTAGTCGGTAGACATGTTTTGGTTTTGTATACGATGAGTATGAAGGCATTTAGTTTTTACTTTATCAATATATTATTGTCTAAGTTAGGTAACAAGTTTTATTTTTTGGAGCGCTGTCATAATGAAATTTTAATAAAAATGACAGTGTATACATATATAAAATAAATAATGTWAAAAATTAAACCGAATTAAATGACAAAAACAAAAAAAATTAAAAACGTTAAAATTTGTTTCAAAACAGTTAAAGCGATATTCTATTTTCATTCGTTTTCTTTCTTTTGTAATCTGCTTTCTTACCAAACTCAATATGAATACTAGAAACATATACAAGTGGTTAGTTCTATTATCGGCAGTCTCATTAGCCAGCTGCTTTTGGAGTAATCGTGTTATAGAAGAATTTATAAATAGTTTTTCAAACGTTGCAGAGGTATTTACACCTACAGCAAGCCCTTACTGTGTGACTTATATTTTTGCTCAACATCCAGGATGATGAATGTGATCAACCCGATTCGTGTGATGAGATGCAAGTAATGTTGCATCTGGCTTGCATTCGTGTAACAAGTCCTGAACGAATATTACTCTTATTAACATGGAACTCATTATCTAAGGCTTGCGCTAAAACATCTAATGTGGTGCAACACATTAACGAGACTCTAACAGATTGTGTACCACTGCCAACAACGAATTTGTATATGCGTTTATATCGGGCTTTGATATTCTTCTATGGACAAATGTGTGGCTCAGCTGAAACCAAGTCGAAACGTTGGTAAACCAACATGGTCTCCATCTATGAAATTACATTAAATAAAAACTCTACACAATTATTCTATTTGATATGCAGATTTAGAAAAGTATCACAGCTGCGTAACGGAACTTCGCGACGATCTAATWGATTGCGAGGGCCCTGCTGATTGGTTTGAGAAACGCAGTAAAACCTATGTTTGCAGGTGATGATGCAATCTTAGTGCAATTATCAGCATATATAGAAAAAATTCACACAAACAGGTACACTATAATGCACTGGAAGACCTAGGATAGTTAAAACATGTTATTTAATATGAATATGAATCCAAAGACTTTCACCTTCGCGCGGGTTGACTTTTCAAATCAATGGAATACACTACAATATAAACTAGCAAAAATAACTAGTTGATTTATTGCATAAATTATATTTTGGTTGGTGACACTTTTTAACTAAATTATATACTTGGTTGTTTTGTATAAAGATTAGTTTCTTCTTTTGTAACTGCTTTTATTATTTTACAAAAAAGTAATATTTTGTAGACTATGAAAAGTTACGTTGTCATATACATATAAAACATAAGAAATATTTTTTGGTGCAAAAACTTTTAGAAGTAATTAGGTTTTTTGTTTTTAATATTAATTTTTTCTTAAATTCTAGATTTGCAATAAATTTAAAATAATGTTTTACAATCTTTTATTCTCTACGTTAAGATTTATATGCAAAAGTTAAATGTACACTTCAGTTAGACGATACGTTCTTTCTACATACATATGTTGACCCGAATTTTGTGTAAACCTTTTACTCTTTCTGAATAACTTTGAGGATTAAAATTACAATTGAAAATTKTTTATACGAAATCCTAAAATAATAATTTTAGTCCGAAATATTTAACATTTTGTAGGCAATTCACAGAAATTATTAATTGTAATTATGTCAGAGCGGCAATGCTATGCGGTCTGAAGCCAGCGCGATTGCTCCGAAGTTTTGCGGCCGAAGTTATAAACAAAGCGCTTTTGGTAAGTTATGGTAGTTTTGTTTTAAATTCTTATAAAATAGTTTTATAAATATTAATATATGTTTTCTATTTCAATTATAAATCTTTTATTACTATCATAGTCCAAGTGCCCGGTGTCATCTACGTTGCCACACGTGAAAAATCCGATGTCAGATGGTGGCAGTAGAAGCTTCCCAAACGTTTCTCTTGCTCAAGTTCATATATTTTTACTAGCTTTTATGTTACAATGTTTAATGCAATAACAAATATTATTACAGAAACAAAACCAAAAATTGACGAATTTCTTGATTTCTTCTAAGAATTCTTTTTGGAACCGCCAAAGCCAGAAAATCCCATAATAGCTGCCATATCATCAGATAAACCGCCACCCAATAGATCGGTATCACTGGCTTTCCTTTTACGCTCTTTTCGTTTTTCTTTTCGATGCTCCTTGTAACGTTCTTCCTCCTCTTTAGCTTCACGTAGGCGCCTTTCCAACTCATAATCTTTTTGTTTTTCTTCCATCTTTTTTTTGTTCGCTTGAAATCGTTCTTTTACTTGATCGACGGTACTGCGCTCAACTTTCATGGACATGCCCAAATTACGTTGATGTTTTTTTCCATTKATATGATCAAGAAAATTAATTGAGTCTTTAACGACACAATCGCATACATTACAATAGTAGCCACCAGATTGTGAGGTAGGAGTGTTTTTGTTTATAACAACGCTTTTTCCGAGTTTACTGTCAAGATCGACTTTGTAGTCCCGCCGCTTTAGGTTCTCGCGTTGTATGGGCTCTATAAGTTAAAAAAAATTGTTACTCTCAACTTCTATGAAGTTCTTCTTCTATGATATTTACAATATCTAATTATCATTATATATATAAAAAATATAACCTTCATCCTTGGGATTTGCCTTAGCTGTCTGGTTTTGTAACCTTTCCTGTGCCAGTCGTTGGTATTCTGTCTTATCCCATTTTCGACGATGATCATCTGGTCGCATAGACATTATAAACAATTTATTTAAAAAACTTCTTTTATTTACAAATATAATTCCACAAATTATCACAACTCAAGCCAATTGTAAACAAGACTCAACAATTTCCTTTCTAATCATATTTACAATCCACAAAACAGTGTTACCGTGTGACTTTTTACCACTTCACTTAGACAAAAACAACTTCTACATTGTGTTTGTTAATTAATATAATATAATCATATTTTAAAAATTAAGTTATTATAAGTTAGTTTAAATGGAAATAATTGTTGAATTTGCATAACATAACAGTTAATGCTAAAATTAAATTTGCCATCGAGTAAGTTGGTAGTAGACTAATATTTATTATTTTGGGGCAATTGAATGCAACCATGTTGAAGGTGTTTAATAATACATTAGTAGTGCGTTAAATAGACTSGAAGAAATTGTTTAATGTCAGAGAAGAGCCCAAAAACACAGTWGTAAGGAGAGCTGCATAACAAACAAGCATTAATTAAATATAAATAAGTGTTTATCTAATTCTTTTAATTCAATACTGGATATGTTTTCATTTTCAGAGCTCAGAGTGAATTATCTTTTAAAATTGTGCTAAATAGAACGCAATATAACATTATTGCGGCTACATTGGAAGTAAGCTATTAAAATGGGCTGTGCCGAAAGTAAGGATGGAGATGAACCCCAAATGAATCGTCCTAAATACCGGACATGTACAGATACGTTCTGGCTTGCTGTATTTATACTATTCTGGCTATTTCTGGTGAGTAATTGAATTAAACGTATCTCCTATTATTTTCGATACACCGGTCATAAAAGGGAAAGTGTTGAGAAACAGTTGAATTTTAATGTACATACCTACAAACAAACATATTATCTATGAGCGAAGATGATGGCGTCACTATATTAGATTTTTTTTTACATTTTTTTACTGCATAACTATCAAAGAGATAAATAGATATGTATGTTCTGTAAATAAGATATTCGCATACTCCATATTTATATGCAATGCACAAAGTATGTATGTATGTAACTATGAGTAAATTTTTGCTCATAATTATTAAGTGACGGCACCACCCACACTCGGGATTAAAAGGCGGTTAACTTTCTCATATACTTACATGCATATATGTATATGTACATATGTATGTAGGTATGTTATGTTACCGTGGTTTCAAATTTTGTGTGCTTGAATGTTTGTACGCCTGCACTTATGTATACCCTTAGTTTGTGATATCAAGATAACGCATCATAATATACATATGTATGTAAATATAAATATTTGTGCTATATATGTATATGTATGCGCATATCGTGGGATCACGAGAATTCGAAAAACTACTTGTGTGCTTTAAATCGTTTTTATGAAAATTTGCAATACCTAGCACCTATGATTAACCAATTATTGCTCAATGCGTACATATGTATGTACGTGCTTACCTACAACAATGCTAGCATTAATATATTATATTGGTGCTAATTGAATACAACTTTTTATTAATACATTTTCAGATTGTTATAGCGATATTTTCCTTCGTTTATGGCAATCCACTGCGGGTGATTAACGGTTATGACTCATTCGGAAATACTTGCGGAGTAAAACGCAATGAAAAATTCACGAATTTCCCACTTTCCGGCATGAACACAGTAGATAAACCGCAACTGTTTTATTTTGATTTTAAAAATCCGCGTCAATCTATTAAAATCTGTGTAAAAGAATGCCCTTCACGAAATATCACGGACGTACTGGAACTGTACAGATACTACATGGATACAAATACAAAACTTTGCCGCTATGACTTCAATATGGATACAATTCTCAATACAAATACAAAAAATATTGATGAATATTTCAATTATTTAGGCCCTTGCCCAAAACTTCCAATCTATGAGGAGTAAGTAAAATGTGCATTGATTGAACGTGCASAATTGACATGTTGATTTTTTAGATCGCCAGTTTTACATCGCTGTATGCCGAAAGGTAACAACGCTAAGGAATTATACAATTTGCTTAACTCATGGGATATCGCTCAACAATTTTTGGCAGATATATATTCCACCTGGCACATAGTTGCCATAATATGCGGTATTTCCTTATGTATGTATTGAAACAAATTTTAAAATTAAATATGAAATTGATTTATCCAAAATATCATTATAGTAATCTCAATTGCATTGGTTACACTCATGCACTGGATGTCGCGTATTATTTCGTGGCTTATCTGTGTCTTGGTTATTGTGGCCAGTTTGGCTTTGACGGCTGCGCTGTGGTATGCATATTATAGCATACGAAATAAGTCACGCGTAAACGCTCAATTTTCAATGTTAGAAGAATTTATAAGGAATGAAGAAGCCGTTTACATACTCGCTATATTAGCCACCATCGCTTTGGTGAGTGAAACCATGTAGTTAATAATTTTAAAACTCATTTCATAATATATTCCTTTTCTATATAATTGTACTTTCAGATAGTTCTTGTTGTTATTATTTACTTCCTTAAAAATAAGCTATCTGGTTTATCGGCGCTTTTTGAAGAAGCTGGCGTGTGTATGATGAACTTACCGGGCTTATTAATTGCGCCGTTATTGGCATTTGCAGCGCTAGCTTTGTTTTTGGCATTCTGGGTAGTGGTCGTGATTTGCATTGCAACTGCCAGCGCACCTGGACAAAGCCCAATCGCGCCATTTGACAACACCGCAGCCCATCAACAACCGTTTCCCACCGATATTACTCCACCGAAGAAYACCACGGATGCCAGTTTTAAGAGTAAGTTTTCTACATACAAATACGTTGACAAAATGTTTTCGTTGTGTTAACGAACTAAAGCAATGTTGTGCAAATATGTATTAGCTCATTTTAAATTAGTTGTCATGTTTAATTGAACCGTAGCTATGTTTTGTGTTTCCGTTCTAATGTGGCTGATATTTTCCCTTATTTAAAACGTGCATTCCCTTGTCAAATGTGCTAAAAATGTAAGTTGTCCGTTTTTTATAGAATTAATATTATTAAGTTTATTCCCATTTGAAAAAAATGTATTGCTTATCAAAATTACTACTAAATGAGTTTTCTAATATAGGCGTATTTATCTTTTCAGCGAWTTTACGCGTAGAATACACGGACGCAAAGGCAATAAAAAGCATGTTTTGGATTTATGTGATTGGGCTCATTTGGACGACGGAGTTCATATTTGCTTGCCAGCAATTTTCACTTGCGGCGGCTGTTGCTTTCTGGTATTTCCAGAAGCCCACTTCCACTCCCACCACATACGCCATCGGAAAACTGCTTAAATACCATTTAGGCACAGTGGCCAAGGGTTCGTTTGTAATAACGATTTTCAAAATACCACGGCTCATTCTTACCTATCTTTATGCCAAGTAAGTATGGTTATGTACAGCTATAACAGTTATTATAAAATTAATTATCTACTAACTAATTTTTTGTATGCAGATTCAAGAAGGCTGAAGACAAAGGTTCCGAATGCGCCTCTTGCTGCCTCAAATGCTGCATTTGTGGATTTTGGCTGCTCGAAAAATTCATACGCTTTTTGAATCACAACGCTTATACAGTTGTTGCTATCGAATCTATAAATTTCTGCCCAGCAGCAGGCATTGTAAGTCTACATCTCGAGTGTTACTTCTCAACTTAATTGATCGTTTGAATCGTTTTTTCTAGGCATGGAATGCAATGGCAACCAATGCCCTTCAAGTGGCAACTATTAACAGTATTGGTGACTTTATACTCTTTCTGGGCAAAGTTCTTGTTGCAGCTCTTAGTGGTCTCATTGGCATTTTCGTGCTGAAAGATCGTCCTGGACTAAATTTCTATATGGCTCCAGTGATCTTTATAATAATTTTCTCATTTTTCATAGCACACATAATATTAACACTTTTCGAGGTAAGTGAATAATTGTTGCCAAATTATGCAATAATTCATTAAATTATTTGCAGATGGTGGTAGACACACTATTTTTATGTGTTTGTGAAGATAAAACAATCAATGGGCGTGGTGGTCGTTGGGCACAAAGTAATTTGGCCAAATTAGTTGGCGAAGAACCGTTGCAACCGGGCGAAGAACCACCAATTCAAGTAGTAGAAATGATGCCTATAAATAAGGAGCCATTCAGCATGACAAGAATGCCGCGCACAGACGTTGTTGATGGTATTATGCAATAGAAAATAGGTAGTATGAATGCAATCACCATTCATTGCGTCGGAAAGTAGAAATTCGACAGGACTAAATCACGCACAAGCCTTTATTGAATAACTGAGTGAAATTGAGTGAAAACATACCTTAATTTTGCGCAATAAACTCAATGAAGCGACGATTCAGTAAATATCAAAATATATTAATAGTCTAAGATATTTATTTCAGTGTATTTTATAGAAAAAAAATTACGATGGATGTAGTGCAAACGCTTTTCATTCACAAAGATAAATTACGATGCACATTTTATAAAGTTAATATTACACATATATTAAAAAAGATTGTACAAACTACAATATTTTTTAATAATGTTCCATTTAATTACCATATCTAAACAACCTATTATAAAGAACAAAGATCAAATAAATTTTTTTACAATTCATTTATTTTTTTCTTATTCGAAACTTTTGCTTTCTTTTTCGCTATTACTTCAACTGCAGCTTTTAGTTGTTTCTCTTTGATTTTTTTCGTCAATGCTGACTTGGAAGACTTTTCTTTACTTGGATCAACAACCACCTTTTTCTTGGCTTTTTCTATTAAAAGTGACGTCAATTAGTAAAAGGAATGAAAGAAGCAACGAAGAAATCTGTATTCATAAAACTCACCCGCCAATAATTTTGCTGTCGTTATAGCGTCCTCATTTTCAAATAACTCTTCGTACTCTAATCCTTCATATGCCTCCTTTGGCCTATTAACTTCTTGATGGACTTTCTGTTCTACGCGGTTCACGTATCTCTCCTTTGCGGCTTTCTTTAACATTTGACGTTGACGAGATGGGCTTATATAGTTTGGATTTTCCCAAATAGCATTGCCAGTAAAAGAACCCTCAAATATTTTAACGGGATTCATAACAAATCTAGGTCCGATCTCAGCCAAACCACCATCTTCTGAGAGAATTTGAAAATTCCTGAACCATATGCGATGATCTAGATATGTAAAAGTGTAGACATGGTCTACAAAAGGTTGACTCTTTGGATGGTGGTTAGGTACACCGAATGTTTGTGTGAACAATTCTTTCAATAACTTCAAATGAGGGATTTCGTCAAACTTAGTATCGAATGATAATAATGGTCTAGATCCACGCAAACAGTTACCAGTCATTTTCAGTTCTGCCATTGTATGAATATTTTCCACAAGGAATTTAGCAGAGGGTCCTGTAGCTGCATTAGCCACCCACATATATAAATCACGTTTTCGGCGTCCTTCGAATAATATTGTCTTGTTACAGTGCTTCATTTCACACATTTCATTGATTACAGATAGCGTTTTCGAACGTTCCATTTTTGATTCCGGACGATGATGAGGCATTAGACTTTTTATATCTCGCAGCAGATGGCGATCACGATGGTTAATACCTCTAGCAGCAAAAACTAGAACACGCTGCTTATTTATCCATTTTTCCTACAAAAYAATGTTGTATGTTCAGACAATGATCTTCATGGACTACTCAGTTTTCTTACTCTTTTAGGTACGACGTCCTCCGAAGTTCTCTGTGCTGGTAGTGGAGGATTTTCATCCATAGGCACAATCTCCAGTTGAGGAACTTTTTTCTTATTTTGTATTTTTCTACCCATAATTTAATAAAATAAATAAACTTTGCTGAATATTGTCACACGTGTAAGGAGTTTTGAAAACAAATGATCTGAACAGCGAACATATAAAATTATCGATAAACAGTCATAGAACTACAGTCCACAAAATATAGAGGGTGTTCATATAGTATAAATTTGAGAAAGGGAAAATATTTCAAGATATATGTTAYGTATAACTATGTTTTGTAAAAAGCTGATAAATTTCATAATGTTATCATAATATGTATAATGTTTCATTTTATCACAAGAGATAGATTCACGAATAGACATTGTGTATATATATGTCATGTTGGAGAACATACTTTATATTGAAAGGCGAAAATTAGTATGAAAGAAATATTAAGAAAATTTTATTTAAGGAGAGAAACCTTATTTAAATAAATATCTGAAGAATATTTTATCGCAAGTAATCAATAAATATAACACCACTAGTAGAAAAAATAATTTAAATGATTATTTGTGAATCGATTTTTAGTTTGATAATACACATTCCTATTACCGGTATACATAATTTTATCCACGCCATTTTATCTAGAACAAATTAAAACTTGTGAACATTTTCATAATAAAATTAAAAACTAGTCCAAGAAAACAATTTTTACGTAAAAAACTCTACTTTTATTACATTCGTAATGTCGGATTATCGATCACAATCAAGGGATGGACATCGTGATAGTGGACGTGGCGGTGGTGGACGAGATTATTCCAGTGATGATGATCCGCCCATGTCGCGTCTTTTCATAATTTGTAACAAAGCACATACCGAAGAAGATTTCCGTGATGCATTTTCTTCATATGGTGAGATTGAAGATATTTGGGTTGTAAAGGATAAAAATTCGGGGGAAAACAAAGGAATAGCTTATGTAAAATTTGCCAAAACATCTGACGCCGCTAAGGCACAAGAAGAGATGAATGGCAAAACCATTGGTAAAATGGATCGTACCTTGAAGGTATTAGTAGCAGCAAAGTAAGTTCAGATATATGCAACTCTTTTTCCGTTTATTAAAATTTTATATCTGTGTATAGTCGAAACCAAGGTTCGAACAAGTCAGAGAATGAACAGGAAAAGTATGTGCGTTTATTTATTGTTATATCGAAATCTGCAACAGAAGAGGAAATCAGAAACGAATTTTCACAGTGGGGAGATGTGGAAAATGTGACGATAGTTAAAGACAAATCCACAGGATCTCCGAAAGGATTTGGTTATGTTCGGTTCACAAAGTAAGTATTGTAATAGAGTTAGTTGTGTCACTAATATTTATATATTATTTTAATATACTTGAATATCCGTAGATTTTATCATGCAGCAGTAGCCTTTGAAAACTGCCCCACAAAGTATAAAGCAGTATTCGCTGAACCAAAAGGTTCAACACGATCACAAAGAGATCAATACGGTCGGCCAGCGGATGATAGCCCACTTATTAGTTCTGGTCGCAGTGGTGGCAGTGGTGGAGGTAGTGGCAGCGGATCTTATAACAATGGCAACTTCAACAATGATTGGAATTGTTCTTTCAATAGCGATATGGCAGCATTCCTCCGAATGCAGAATGTRCCAGTACCACAACCAACATGTTTAGAAGTGATTGCTAGTCATTCCGTGAATCAGGATCAGTTATGGCGTTTATTTGATATAATCCCTGGCTTGGATTATTGCCAAATAACCAGAGAATGTTCGTTCGACTATATTTTAGTTAAGTATGATTTTATTTTCTGTTCATATTTTCAGATGGACCGAGAACTAATGAAGCAATAGTGCTTTACGACAACCCTGAGGCAGCTATTTATGCAAAGTATGAAATAACAAACATTTTAAATATATTTGAAATAATATGTATTATTTTTCTGCAGAGACAAATTGCATGGTTTGGAATATCCAATGGGGGAGCGTATYATAGTTAAAGTGGCCGGAATGAGTTCAGCTAGAATGGACACGTCTTTTATAGATAGTATGCTAGTATAGATGTAAGAAATCGCAGAAATAGTCTTAAATGTTATTTTTTTCAATAGAGCGTACTAAAAAGGATTCAATATGTAATGTCCCATTGCCACCTGCCCAGCCCATGGTATCGCCCGATACAACAGTAGCACAGCGTTTGTTTATCGTTTTAGCTGCGGTAAGATTACATATTAAACAATCGTGAAATTTTTCGTCCAGTATATATGTATATGCTAATATTTTTACTTTTAATTACAGAATCTTCCGCAGTCTATATTGAAGAATGTGTTCTCTTGTTGGAAGGGTTTAATCGATGTCTACTTGCTACCGAATAAAAATTGCGGCTACGTTAAATACGCGGATAGAGATAGTGCACAAAAAGCCATTCAAACGCTGAACGGTGCGGAAATTTGTGGCACAAAAATTAAGGTAAATTGCATTATATTTATGATATGTACTCGTATAAAAAAGAGCAATTACTTTTCAGGTAATGGAAGCCGAAGAACGAGGTAATGGAGATGGTGATGATAATGGAAGGAAACGCTTGCGTAGAAATTAAATGTAAGAAAATCTTTGAAACGTAATTATATTTTATTTTATTTTTCTTTGCAAAAAATCAACAAACGACAGATAATGTCAAAAATTTGTAACTGGTAAGTAAAATTTTATTTCAATTTAAAAATTGTAAATTTTTTTAAGCAGACTGATCACTAATATATGTCCATCTTATTATTTATTAAGTATTTTTTGTAAAGTATATGTTTCTAGAACTAATATTTGCAGGTTAATGAGCGTATTTTGTTTTTCTTTTTCACAGACATAAAACATAAAGCAAACCAAATTAAAACCATAACAGTAACGTTCCATTACTTAATAAAACAAGATATATAATGAAACTAACTGACTGCAGATAACATTTACGGAAACTAAACGCAAACGGAGTTAAAACGGAAACTGGTAGATACAATAAGAACGAAGATAACACAAAGGTGGTGAAAGCATATACTGCATACGAATATGTAAAATGCTTCAGCAATGAGCAAAACCACCAAACAAGACGACTTAGACCTTCACAATCACTATGTCACAGTCATAGTCACCACAATATGAATAATGCCACAGAATGCCACTTGTATAGACAATGACCGATTTGAGACCAAGTACCCCAAAAACTAAAACGGAGTCAAAACCGCTAAAGCGCAACGGACACTGCAATGAGTTATAGTACAGAAACAAATTGATATTACGAGTGTTAATTTGAGAAGAGCTTTTACAAGAATAAATGAACGAAATTAGCGAAAAATTGAACGTAACCTAAACTAGAACGAGAACGCGAACCTGAACTAAAACCAAATGGACAAAAATAATGTACGAGCAGGTCAATGAAGCAAGAACCGAATTAACCTTACCACAGTAAACTTTAATACTCGAGTATCCCCTTCAATTTACATTTACACACCTAAAATTAGAAACTTAACATCTATCCATACTTGTACATGCCTGTTAAGACTTTTACTCATTATTTAATCGTTTATATTCGACAGTTTGATGAGGAGAAATTTTTCTCGTTGCTATCAAGCTGTTTTTATTGAAAATTTCTGCAACAATATAGCTAACAGGTTTGGCATTTCATAAATGTAGTATGTATATATACAAAAATAAGGATATATATAGTATGTATATATATAAAAATAAAGGTATATATACATACGTACTATTTTAAACGCAGATAATTATAAATATATTATTACAATTATAAATATATAAAACAATATATAATTTTTCTCAAATAAAAGCTGTTTTATTCCGTGGTTAACAAATGCTAGTAAGTAAAATTTCGTAATTTTTTTGCATCAGTAAATCAATATTTAAATAATCTTAACTGAGTAGTGAATTTTATGTCGAGTATTTTATGAAAAGTATGCYGTTTGCAAATAAAACGGACAACCAAATTTTAACTGACCCTGAACGCCGATTCTAATAGCRGCCACTAAACATACAGTTACAAACTTTGTCCCATAAAATAAACAAGGCGCGATATAGCGTTCGAATTATCTATTTCAGTTACTCTACTGTTTATTCATATTTTCGTATGTTCGACTTACAAATAATCATATCCTATTTGAATGAAAAATATAGTTGTTTTAAATTATTTATTCATTTGTTCATATTAATTTATATAATTGCAAATTTAATAATAATAGTCTTCTTCCTTAGTTTTGTAATGAGTGCATTAGCGTAGATATAGGAGAATTCGTTTCTCCCCTCGCCAAACGGGTTCCCATATTAATATTAAACTATTAGCATTACTTTGACTACATTCATTAGGTCTGCTGTTATACACTGATTTTAACATCTTTTATTAATAATAATTTCAATCAACTAAAAAACAGACTTCGTTGAAAATGTAAACTCGGAAGTACAGTGAATTTTGYCGAATCTATGATGTATTAGCAGTGAAATAAGAGAAATGGGTCATTAGGATTAACATTKTTGTGGATAACTATTGTATGTAAATTATTATTGTTTTCATAGTGTGCTAAGTTTCTTGCTGCTAAAGAACATTTTCGATTTAATTTCATTTAAAACAGTTGTAATTGTTATCATAGCCCACTGTTGTAGTTCTCATTGTTTGTGATGGTCTATGAATTGATAATTCCTCTAATTTGTTGTTTCTTTGACTGTCTGTTGATTGTTTGCTGACTTGGTAGATTAATTCAAAATATTGTTCTTTGTTTCTTAATTTAAAAGCCGTGAACTTTCAACTGATCAGGTTTCGCTAGACCTGCCTTGGTCAACCACTGGCAGATATTTTCACGTTGGTCGCCCTGAAGCTGTAATACCTCTCCGTATTCGGGATGTTCGATTACTGTGCCATTGCAGGCAAATTCCTTAAAAATATACAAATTGCAATGTACTTCGTCCATTAATTCGGTCTCAATATGACTTACCTTTTTACATGACCGCACAATTTTCTTTAAATCATATTCTGATGATAATCCTTGCACAGTTGTTAGTGTCTTTCGACCATTTCTCTGCTGAATTCTTATGTGTACAAGACCGTCCTGAACATCATCGTCAGCACCCTTAATTGCATCAGCAAATGGGTCTAAAATTAAAAAAAAAAATATTTCGAAAGAAATATGTGCAAAGTAATATAAATATATGTATGTCTACATAATCATAATACAAAGAATAAAGAAAATTATTATTTTTATTTAATTTTATAACCATTTATACCATTTCAAGAACGTGATATTGACCACTGTTGCACCCATTTATGTTGAATGCCATTGATGGTGACTACGTCAGCGACAACTTTGTGACATTGCTTACCCTTATTGTTGCACAAAGCAAAAATTGAGAAGCATCGATGCTGACTCATCAAAAGCACAGAAAATATTTAAACAGCTTAAATAATATATATATGTTAGACCTAAATATTATAATCTACTTTCAATTGATAATTTCCATCATTTACACTGGAATAAAATCTTTATATTGTTTTCTCTTCTAACCATTTCCACACAAATGGCAGCCATTTTCTCCTTAGAATGTCGAGAAACGAGAAACCCCAAATTCACCTTTTTTTGCCGTTCCAAAAGATATTTTTTATAGTTTCACATTTGTCGTCATGTATTTTCACTTACCAAATGTATTTAAATTCTGGATGGACATACGATAATAAAAAGCAACCACAGCTGAAAATAAAAAACTGTTCGCAATGATAATTTTATTGCGTTGAATTACTGAAAATTTTCACTTGTATTTTTAGTAAACGTGCGACGTTTCGAAACGCTCTAAATTAACAAATGTCTCAACAGGCAATGAAACGCGTGCTTTTTTCAACTTTATTCTAAGATATGAAACGAAATGGTATTTGTCAGATGAAATCTCGTACAAATCGGAAATCTATTACTCAGTGAAATATGAAAAAGTTGTTGCCAGATGTGTTAAAGAAATTATGAATTACCAATGTGTTGGGCAAAAAATACTTTTTAATTAAATGTTTACGAAAATTGTTTAATTAATATTAATTTAATTATTGAAATTATTATTCATTACTATTAAWACAATTAAAATGATCGGAATGAACTCACGGAATGCACGGAAAAGCACTGTTTCGATTGTCTAGAAACCAAAGATAATACTGGTTACAAAACGTAAATGGGTGTGATCCACGGAACCCAACAAAATAGATCCATTTCTGAAGCGGTTGATTATTGGTGATGAAAAGTAGGTCACTTACGACGTTAAGCTAAATGGTCGTGGACAAATTGTGGTGGCCAGCGAAAACCGTGGCCAGGCTAGAAGGGGCGATCAGGAAAGTTTTGCTAGGTGTATGGTGAGATTGACAGTGACGAACTGCTCCTACGAAAACAATATTAACTCTGTCGACAATTCAATCCTACCAAGGAAGCAATCGCACAGAAGCGGTCAGTTTTGGTAAGAAGAAATAGAATCAAATGCAAAAGTAGATGGATATTTTTTAAATACTATATATATTTATATAAATGTCCTTATGACCGAAATTTTTAAATATGGATCTTTTGTAGAAATTAGACGCCCTCTTATAGTACTATTTTCAAAAGTAGCTCAGGAGGACTTTATGTTACATCAGCGATAGCGGCATTGTATGTACCATCATATAAACATTTATAGGTTATTTTGGGACAGACTTTGGATCACATTATTGTATTGCAATTTATTTGAAATATTAACGTATTCAGCGTWTTATAATAAATTTCAAGCTTTTTTGCTCAAATTATCAAGGGGATTTGATAAATTTTTAAATTCTTAAAAAAATCATTCACTTATTCGAAGAAAGGATTTAATAATGAATTGTTTTGGGCGTTATAGTTTTTACTACAATTTTAAAGAAAGTACTTAAACAATACGTAATTCACAATAAAATGAAAATTTCAGGTAATCATGCCGTTATAAAGGCATTATAAATAATAATGAAACTTATAGATTAACACTGTCAGTGTGTATATTAGATATAAATCTACATATTTGTATCAAACTAATTATAAATACTGGTTTTAAGATAATATTACTTCCTCTTTTATGTGGCCTAGTTCAAGTTTCTGTGAAAGTTCTGCTTCTGCTACACGCTTTTGAAGATGACGCCATAGAGTGCTTTTCGGTATGTCAAATAAATTTGCYGCATGATTTTGTGACATTCCTTCATGTACACAAGCGTGCAATGCTTTAGTTAATTTGTCTTTTAGTTCAATTTTCGAGTTAACATCACGTTTCTTAAAAGAAACATAATCTGGCAAACGTCCTTGCTGTGCCAAACGTACTTTATGTCTATGTAGTGTAGACATGGGTATGTCTAACTCCCGACTGATATTTTTCAAAGAGTCGCCACCTTTTAATCGTTCGTAGGCCATGGTCAGAACAGGGTTTTCACGGGTTGTTTTCATATAATTGGGGTGTTTGCGCACTCTCCGCCAAAGAACCGTTTTCGATAAATCATATTTCAGTGCAGCCTTCTGTAAGCTCATACCTTCATTTATTACTGCCTGAACAGCATAAAAAAGAGCATCTTCTTGAGTACCGGGTGCGGCGTTTAATGTGGTAAAATTATCATCAGTCTTTAATACTGAAATGGGATCTGCGGTGGGGTCAAGTGTGGTAAACATTGATTGGTGTATTTGATCGGTATCTGAAGTGGATTGCGATTTAATTTTGATAGTTTTCATTTTTGGCGTTGGTTTTATTTGAATTAGTGGTTGTGGCACTTGCGTAGTAGTTGTTGTTGTGGCAGTCACTTTTGGAGTGCTTGTTGTTGCAGTATTTGTAGTAATTTCAATTATAGGATCTGTACTATTACTGCTGTATTCCTCTATGATGTGAGCCTCTTCTGCTGTATCATCCATTTCAACAAGTTTTTCCGCATCAGAATTGGAGCCATTTTCTAGTTTATTATTTTGTGTTAAGGTAAAAGTTCCCGAATTTTCAGTTAATATATATTCATTTGCTGCACTGGCAACAGGCATGTGTTCGATGGAGTAAGTAATTTTGCTATGTTGAGCTTCGTTATAGACATCCAAAAATTCCAGTTCTCTTTCATGTTGTATTACATTTTGTGTCTAAAAAAATATATGACATGCATTTATTCTTATTTTTGTAAGTTTTTATATATTTGGATAAGTTTTACTCACTTCGATTTTCTCGACAGCAATATTTTCTTGTTGTTCAATAAGCTCTTCTTGTGCAATTTGTATATTGCTTAGAGTCTTTACTGCCTCTGTTGTCTGGACACCACCGGATAATGTSGCATTGTTGCACTCAAAACTTATTGCTGACTTAATACCCAAGGTATTTATAGCTTCCAAGAACTCAGACAAATTGGTCGATGTGAGGCTTGTTTCGCCTATATATATAAAAGCTAATACACTGTCGAGCAGAGATCCTTTTATATCTGGCACTACAATTGTTGCTTCCTGACCCATTGGTACATCCACCAATAGATTGCGCAGCAAGTCCGAACATGATGATAGGACAAACCGATGGGCCCGCACTGAATGACCTTTGGCTACCAGTGTCACTTCACAGCTTTGAGGATCATTGCGAAGATTTCTTTGTATATCAAATATTGTTGCCGAATGGCCCATCCATTTCAAATGATTCATTATAGTCGGATTCGCCGAGTATGTTTGTTGTGTTTTAATTTCAGTAATTTAGATTTAGGAACGTCAAATTCTCTGAAAATTCTATCGACAAAATTTCRCTAATTCCACACACGCTACGGTCCGAAAATGAAATAAGAACAATTTTGGAATTTATTTACCAGGGTTGCATTTTGCTTAATTTTCATTTGACGTTTACTGTCAAAAAAAGTAAAAGCRTTTGAAAAAGAAAATGTCTCGCAGCTACAGCTCTCAAATTTCCAAAAGAACCCATTACATTTTCTGTTAAAATGCATAAAATTCAAATTGAAATGTTTAGGTTTATTTTCCAATTAATTTTAAAATAAGAAGTATGAAAGTAGGAATAACACTATTATATATATCTTGTTTATTTATATAGGTGGACAGTATGAAATACAACAATGCTGTGAATACCTCACATTTGTATTTGACTTTTGTATGTTGTTATATAAACAGCTGTCAAAAAAGTAAGGTGCATTATCGGAATATTTGCTAAATCAAAAAGGGTGAAATGGCAGCGATAATTAGGAGAATAGGTTGTAGGGCAATTGGCAATTTCGCTGCAAAAAATGGTATATTTTTTAATTATATAATTTAACTAACTGATTTGACTCTTAAACACTTTTCAGTTGCTGCTCCTAAAGCGGTGGGAGSAATCCGATTGTCCAGCACCACGCCTGCCCCGCCAGCAGAAGACAAACGTGAGTTATTTGCCACAAATTTTAGTAATTACTTAACACCTTTTATCTGTATACTTTGTAGCTACTTTCCGCAAACCTAACGAAGCAGCTCGCTTAAATTTAAGCAATTTCGGACGATATGTAGCCGAATGCCTTCCTAAATATGTGCAGAAAGTACAACTAACCGCAGGTGACGAACTTGAGGTTCTCATTGCTCCGGAGGGCGTTGTTCCYGTACTCCAGTTTCTGAAGGATAATCATTTAGCGCAATTCAGTAATTTAGTAGATATTGCCGGTATGGATGTACCGAGCAGACAGTATCGCTTCGAAGTCATCTATAATCTYTTATCGTTACGTTTCAATTCACGTATACGCGTTAAAACTTATACTGATGAGTTGACCCCACTGGATTCGTGTAATGAAGTCTTTAAGGCAGCAAATTGGTATGAACGTGAAATTTGGGATATGTATGGCGTATTCTTTGCAAATCATCCCGATTTGCGCCGCATATTAACTGATTACGGCTTTGAGGGACACCCACAACGTCGYGATTTTCCATTATCCGGCTATGTCGAGGTATTTTTTGTATAACAAAAATTATTGTATAAAGTACTAATTTTACTGCCAATTTATATAATTTAGTTGCGTTATGATGATGAGAAAAAACGTGTAGTCTGTGAACCATTAGAATTGGCGCAGGAATTCCGAAAATTCGATTTGTCAGCACCATGGGAACAGTTTCCAAACTTCCGTAATGCTAATCCACCAGCCGAGACTGTAGAAACCAAGCAGGAGACCCCTAAAAAATAAACCGAACATTGGAAATGTGGCATAGTTTATAAATTGTTGCGATGTGCAGAATTAATGTTACCCAAATATAATGGAAAATAATATATCGCTTCAACGATTAAAATAATTTTTAATTAAAAAATGGGGTTGATTAACTGTTCTATACATTACATATGTATATACATACAACTTCATAAAGGTAGAGCTGTATATACATACATATGTCCCTCAAAAGGAATTCAGTTGACATCAAAGCAAAATTTTTGAAAAGTATTGAGACATTTAAATTTAAATAAATTATGTTATCTTCTATGAATCTAATGATTTCATTTTATTCGCGATTTCTGTCATGGCAACTCTGCTCATGCTTATATACACTATACTATAGTGCATCTCATATTAACAGGTTCTCAATGTACACAGATACTTTAAGTTTTTTGTATTTGCTTATGGGTGTGCACCGGTATTGATGAACTCTTTATTTGCAAAAAAACAAAAACTGAAGTGTAAACGGGAAGACCGGGCGGAAACCACATAGTTCTACTCTGCTTCTAGGTGTAACATTTCTCATTTCGAAATTTTTTTACTAGATTGTTATCTCGGCACGCATAGCATACACAAATATGTATAGATGTATATATATAAAATAATTTTACACAGGCACTGATGTTGGGATTTCTCTGTAAAGACTGTTTGAACGCTCTTTCAATAATATATAATATTTATTAGTATTATTAGAATGACAAAATGGGCATTGGCTCATCAAATGTTCAACGCGAATTTGGTTGAATAATCCGCAAGGAATGAAAACTGCTGACATCTGCTTAAAACGAGCTAAAAAAGAAACGATAAAATATAATAGTAACAGTTGTGATAAAAGATATTGTGCAATAATATCTAAACTAAAAATTGTGTCCTTTCGCTGTTCTTTTTTTTTCAAATGAACACACATATGTAGAAGGAAATAAAAAACAAATAGTTACTTGTAGTATAGTAGAAAATTAATTTATTGTTAATTTATAATTGTGCTAAAATGACAATGGAGGCTATTTCCAACTACTTTGAGAAGGGCATAGTGCTGGTTGTTGCCGATCTGCTTAGTCTAATAACAGTGTCATCTTGTTTGGTTATTAAGGTGCCACAAATAAATACAATACGAGCAAACGAGTCATCACAGGGTAAATAAAAATAATTTGTTTGAACAAAACTACTAAAATAAGAGCAATATTTGCGAATGCCTTCTCACTGGTCTGAAACTAGCATACATATGTACATATGTACATTAGTGTTCTTCTGTCACTTCCGATTAGTCAAGAGCTATTAGAAAATATTTTGGAACGGAAGTAGTTTTTATAAAAATATCTGATAAGAATATTCACAAACAATATATGATGGAATGTGTATACGAGTATGCACATACGAATATAATATAAACATATATGTATATGTACCATATAGCTAGAGCTGATTTGTATAAAACAAAGCGCACTTTTATAATTTCTTTTCAATACAGTTAAATTCTATTTTAAAAACTAACTGTACATTATGGTATGACATTTGAATTAAGTTTTCAACGTAAAATATTAAAAATGGGCAGCGTTTTAGAAAAAAGTCAATTTGCGGTGCCGCTCATAACTCGATGCTGGATCATCTGAAACCAAAAAATCAAAATTATATAGTAGATAATTCCTTTGCCCAGGTAACGCTGTGGAAGTTTTTCGAAATTATAATTATCACTTCATGGGATCGTTTTAAAATCTAAATCTATGATCTTATCTCATTATCTAAATAATGGTTTAAAAATACATATATTGATTACAGACCAGTTTGAGATATGTACATACATGTCTTAATTGACAAATGCATATCAAAATAAAAAATAAAATGTATGAAGTTTTGCAAATCACATTACTATTTATAATTACAACATTTACATTAATTTTTATAATTTCAAGGTATTAGCGTTCTTGGTCTCTGCCTCGAACTCTTCAGTTACACCGTGATGTTGTCTTATAATTACAGCCGGGGCTATGATTTTCTATCTTATATGGAATACCCCATACTGCTCCTACAAGAATATGTGCTTATCTACTACACCTTCTTTTATCAAAATTTATTGGGCGTACGCACGCAGATAGTGGCGGTGCTTTATGCTATCGTGGCGACACTGATTTACTTCAAACTGTTTCCTCTACTGATACTGACGTTTCTTGTGGTAAGATTTAGATTAATAGAGATAAGATAATAAGTCCTAGGTTAATAAAAATTACATTAATCATTCGTGACTCTCATTAAAAAATACGTACATTGTCTTAGTCTTTTAGCGCATAATTTTTCCAATAGAAAGTTTTATTTTTTTCAATTTGGATCTTTGTGTGTTAAAACATTTATTTTAATATAATTGACGTTAGTTGTAATTTTTTTTTTAAGATTTTTATAATGCATATATTATATATCAACAGCTACACTACTTGGTTGTTGGTACTTGGGCGTTTCGTAATACAGGAAAAAATTATTTGTAGGCCGTTCCTACGTGTCGTACAGACATATCAGCTCGGCAGCATCCCTCAAAAATTCTTCAGAAATGCTCTCGCTGGTACAACAACAACARCATTAAAATAAATAACTACATACAAAATGAACCTTGTATTTTTATAGCATACTTTAGGGCGCGTTGTTCAAAAATGCTTGCCTGGGACTTTATATCATTATTAAATTTGTTTGCTATCTATTTACTATCTTTGTGTCTTTGCAGCCATTTTGTACACCAATCGGTGCTACAAGTAAAGTTCTACAATTAATTGCAATTCTWCGGACAAAGGATGCTTCTTCTGTCAGTCGTACAACATGGGCACTATCAGCATTCACCAATTTGAGTAATTGCATAGAGAATAAAAAACAAAAAGCAAMAACTAATTTTATTTCTAAACTAACCATTCAGCTCGCATCTACACCGTTTACGTGCAGTCAAGTGACATGATGTTGCTAAGTAATTTCTTTATATCCACCTTCTTAAGCTCGTCAGTGTTCGTTGCAGCATGCATTTACAAGAAAAAAACAAAAACCGATTAAGAAAGTCCAGCGGAGGAATTGCTGCTGAATTTTATCTTTACTTGTTGGAAATGAAAAGTATGGTTTAGCTCAAACTTATATTTAAAAATCAATAGAGTGTCTGTTAACTATTTTTAAAAAGCGAAAAAAAAAACATTTGGCATAAATTTGATATTTCGAAAATATTTATTATATAATTTACGTAGTCTTTCGTTGATATACATACTATATATAGGCTGAGTTGAAGAACTCACCTAAAATAATATTTTGTAATATTTGCGCAATTGCATGATAATAAATGTACATTTTTTATTTCTTAAGTATGCTATTTTGGTAAATATAAAACTTGATTAGTGTATATACAGATGTAATGCACTTATTAACTATCGGCATAAAAAGCTACAGCAATAGCTAAAACGATTGCTAGTATAATACCACCATAAATGCTTAATAACTTCCAATTTATCTGCCTATTTGGTTTTTCTACGACGACCTTACGTTCTTTGTATTTACGTTTGCTAAATCTCTTTTCAAACTGTTCAACTTCTGCACGATTTTTCGCCTCTTCTTGTTGG